CCTGGGAGGGCTTCGATTGAGGACAAAAAAAAAATCGAGATTTCTAGAGAAAACCTGGACAATATGTGTAAAAGGGTTGTCTTATCCACTAAATGGGGAAATGAGTGATTAAGATCTCTGATCTAGAGTGATCTAGAGTGATTAAGATCTCTGAACCAAATTCCACATATTCCTGACGTTCCCAAAGTCAGCTGTCAGAGGTGATGGCTGAGTCCCTACTGCTAGCAGCAGAGACGTCTCATACACTTGAACTTTCCACTGAATTACTCGGGTTGTTTCCAAGTTTTTGCACTATTTATACAACAGGATAGGGAAATGGAAGGACTTTTGCATTGTACATGAGCCGAGGAGTCATTTAAAAGCAATGCCAAAGACTATCAGTAAATTCTGCAGAAAATGTTTAGATAACCATGAACAAACAACTCCTGTGTTTTAACCTTGGCTTCATTGCTTGTGAAATCTCACCAGTTTAGAGAACAGCAGCTGCATATGGGATGGAAGAATGCTTCAGAGTGTATATATATATCTATAACTCCATATATGTACTCCATATATATACTACTAAATCTATTTAGCACTTAACAAAACCAAAACTATTTATGACAGTTAGGATACAACTACACTTTAGTGGTAGAAAATCTGCACGAGAGTGATGGTTGCAAGAAGAAGAAACATTGATTTAAATAAACTACATATAGGCATTAAATATCAGCCCATAGGCATTAAATATCAGCCCATAGTATTCTATCATCCACAGATTTGGAAATACTCTGTCAGAGGTAAAAGTTCCAATATTTCGATATTTGTATGGCAGATTTTATTTTCCAGAAATCTTACATTCTGAATTCAGCCAGCAGTTACAATTGTAACATTCACAGCCTAACATTTCAGCAAAGGGTAATCTCTTCTAAAAGCATCACCCTTTATTTTGTTACCTGGTGAATGACTTTGAACTTTGTGAATTAATCAAGACACTTAAACTTCTATTTTTGGAAATTTCAAAAAAGTGACATTCTGTCTATAAACCTGAACAGGGATAGCTTCATTAGGAAGTATTAGTGATGCTTTTCCTAGAATATGAACATGTTTGGAATTTAGTCTCTGAAGAAGGACAAAATTTATTGTCTGGGAACAGCAGCAGTCTAGGGACTGCTTGGATAAATGGAGGTGATTCCTCTCTGTCAAGAAAAGGTGTGTGCTCTCAGACCCAGGTGGAGGTGGGACACACATTTCTAAGGGCTAAAGTCAGGTCAGTGTCTTGTCCTCACCTGCAGAGCAGCACAGGTCTCCCTCTCTCTCCTGTCATGCTGAACTATTGTCCAAAAGTCAGTAACCACCCCAGAGCATTCCTTTCTGCCAAAGAAGGATCCTACTAAACCCCTACAAATCCATGGACAGCACACTTATCACAGCAGCACCTTGGATGCTGCAAGGAGTAGATCTCTTCCCCTCTCCACATTCACTCACCACTCCTTTACAGGTTTCTTGGACAACAAAAGGGAAAGGTGACTCACACCCACAGATTACTGGCAATTCAGGAGAAACATGAGGAAAGGCTTATTGTGATCATGGATCTATCAGTTGTTCTTCTCTTTTTCTTTCAACTATTTATTTCCATTGGAAAGAGCTGGAAGGACTTTTGTGTCCTGGCCAGTCAAGCCCTGTGTGTGCAGTGCAGCCTGGACTGGATCCCCCAGCCCAGCTGTCCCAGTCTGTTTTTTGTAGGATGCTCCAGCTAAGGGACAAGAAGCTCTTTGCACCCTCCAATGTAGCTACAGGGAAAAGGGAGGCTGCTGGCCCCATGTTCAGCATTGATCCTTCAGCTTCATAGAGTCAATGCTAAAACATCATTGGTGTCCTCACAGCAAGTCCCTCTTTGACCTCTGTTCTCCCCTTCTATTTCTGTTTTCTTCATTGCTCCCCTGGGAATCTATTTAGACTTTTTGGGCCTTGGATTTGCCTAGGTCATATTTCCTTTAAATAAATTCACATGTTTATTTTCTGTATTTCTTTAAATGGTATCTTTATCTCTAATTTATCTCTGAATTCTTAGTTCTCTATTTTTATCAAGTTTTAGCTTTATCTCTTGTGCTTCTTCACAATCTCCAATTTCAATGTTATAAATCCTGTTTTACATGAACTATAAGCAAAACAAGGGAATCAAGGCTCTCCCTTATCATATGTACTCACAATCCTTGATGCTTTTTTCTGCTTTAAACTCCAAGAAAAGATTGGTTTCCACAATTATTTCTACTGAGATATAATTCCCTGCTCTTGTTCTTTCTAAACTGCAAGTCCTTTAAATAAAAGTACTGTTTTTTCTTGGTGACAAAGAGATAGATGGTAGCAATGTCAACATTGTTTGAGACTGCTTAAGACTGGGGTTTTGTCTGAATAAATAATTCTCTGTTACTTTTGTTCTTAAGGGTGCTGGTACTGCAGTGTAGCTGTTCTATTCTGACTAATTTCCTCTTCTTGAATTTCTTTGGGCCTAATTTTACAACATCCCAATCATCTTTTATTCCCAAAGGCACCAGCCTTGTCTTGTTAAAGTGTCTTTATGTGGATAAGACAATTAAATAAAAGAACAAGGAATGCCTGAGGAGCAACGGTAGCATATTTTCATATTATTTCTCGAGCAATAATGGATAGTTTCATTTAGAAGTAGTTTTCTCATTTTCAGAGATGGTATAAAAGACCTAGCTATTCTTTATACAAAATGTGATATTATTCATCTCTGCTTTAGAGGAGCTTTCTGTGGACAACACCTTCAAAGACTGACATTTTCTTACTTATTACAGGTACAGCATCTGCTTCCTATTGTGGGGGAGAAAGAGTTCTTTGCCGTGATTATATTTTTAATCACTCCAGACTTTTACTCCTCACACTGAGCTGTCATTAGACCTGTGCAGCAAGGGAAGCTCTTTTCAGCTTCCCATGCTGATGTTATTATTGAACAGTTTAAACACATTTGGCATATATCACCAAAATATGTGACTGAAGACCTTCTTATTTCCCACAAACACCATGTAAACCACAGACTACAACAATTTCACTCCTCAGACTCTATTATTTACTGTTCCAGTGTGTTGCCCTTCTTCCTTATGACAGCTTTCAATCAGGACTTAAACCTCACCTTCCTTGGCACACTACCTTTTCCATCTCATTCTTTCAACTCTAAACACAAGAAACTTGGTCCCACCACCTATAATCCCAGTATCTCTGCCCTTAAAATGTAGATCTGAACAGTTTTCATAGGTTGCCATAACCCAGAAATTACAGTCATACAGAAAAGACAAACAGGTGGCTATTGTTCACCCAAGTTGGAAAGAAGCTTCTAGTCTTGACATGTACCAAGCAATAATTTTCCCCAGGAAGATGATTTAGGAAGAGGAAGGACAGAACTACATCTGATGTGGTCTTGCACTAAATAGTTGAGGTGTCTTTAGTTACAAAGCTTCAAATTCCTGCCTGTCACATGCATATGTGGTTTATGATTTCTTTGTGTCTGTTTTTTACTAATCGTTAGACAATAGTTCTAAATGTGTATTAAAAAAAAAAAACAACAAAAAAACAAAAACCAAAACAAAACAAAAGTCGAGTTTTAAATGCTGAAAAGTCTAATCTTTCAATCCTTCAATTTTAGCGTGGCAGAAAATATTCTGGTGGTCCTGGTGTACACCAAGCTGAATACGAACCAGGAACATGGGTTGATGTCCTGGGCTGCATTGAGAGTGTGTGAGGTTGAAGGAGATTTTCCTTCCCTTCTATTCTGCAGCAGCCTCCTGAGGAGGGGAAGTGGAGGGAAAGGTGCTGATCTCTCTCTGGTATCCAGGGATAGGATGTATGGGAATGGTTCAAAGTTGTCTCAAGGGAGGTTCAGATCTCGCACTAGGAAGCATTTCTTTAGTGAGAGACAGGTCATACACTGAAACAGGCTTCCTAGAGAGGTGGTCAAACCCCAGGCCTGTCAGTGTTTAAGAGTCATTTGGACAAGGCTTAACAACATGCTGTAACTTTTGGTCAGCCCTGGCTTGGTCAGGCAGTAGGATGAGATGGTTGTTACAGATTTCTGTTCTCTATGGTGACTGCAGGACAATTGTACTGGGAGGACAGTGGGAGCTGGGTTTTGTAGGGAGAACAATGCTCCTGTACTTGTCTCTGTGCTGCTGACATCCCCCTGCAGTGTGCCCTGACCTCTCTGCAGGTGCAGTGGTAACATCCTATCCCATCCCNTGGTCAGTGTTAGAGTTAACAGCAATGTTAGAATTAACATAATTAATTATAAGTGATTAGTGTTAGAATTAATAGTAATATTGCGTGGCAGAAGCTAATGGGGTGAAAAATATTTATAAGCAATTGTAACCAGAAAATAAGTTAGCTTTAATAGAACAGTGTTGAGCTTTACATCTATTGTGTCTCACCCTTCATTGAGACTGATAACAGGATAAAACCTTTCCAAACACCTCTGTGAAAGCTAAACCCAAACCCTGCCCCTCCCAGCTGGACAAGATCTCCATTTCCTTCGACAACGGCAAAACCACCATGAACTTCATGGAGGCAGCGCTGCTGATCCAGGGCTCTGCCTGCATCTACAGCAGGAAGGTGAGATCACAGCTGCCCCATCCCCATCTCATCCCGTCCCCATCCCCATCCCCATCCCATCCCCATCCCATCTCATCCCTATCCCCATCCCATTCCCATCACATCCCCATCCCCATCCTCATCACATCCCCATCCCATCCCCATCCCCATCCCATCCCATCCCATCCCATCCCATCCCCATTCCATCCCCATCCCCAGGCACTCCCCGTGTCCTGGTGTGCCCGGTGAAGGGAGCCAAGGCAGCGTCACCCAGAGCCTTGCTGCTGGCACGGCTGCCCTGGACAAGGTGCACATTGTCTCGCCCTGGCACTGCCTCCCCTATTGGCCAACCCCCACTGCCACAGGCACGGGACCTCTTTAAAGGGAGACCACTACACCTCCCTGGGGCACACAGCCTCTGACTGCCACCACGAGCTGCTGTGGCCACTGCCTCTCTCTGCAGGAGCAGCGCCTCACAAAGCCAGAACGATGTGTAACCGATTTGTGGGAACCTGGAAACTCATCTCCAGTGAAAATTTTGATGACTATATGAAAGAATTGGGTGAGAAATGTTCTGAGTTTGTTTGTTTGTTTGTTTGTTTGTTTTTGTTTTCCTTTTTGTTAGTAAGTTTTTTCTTAGTAAGTTAGTTAGTAAGTTTGGGAAGGCTCTGCTCATGGATGCTGCCTTCTTTCTTGCCAAAAAAAAGCCCTTAATTACTCTTCAAACATAATTTAATGTCTTTTTTTTAAGCATCCAAATTGAAAAAGGTAGGTGATGAATTACTATTATAAATTTACTTCTGCCTAACTGATACGAATCAATTTAATAAGTTTTTCTGTCATGAGAGTAATCTATGGGGATACAGATTTTTTTGTTTCCTCTTGATTGCACTACTAAACTTGTGACTTATGATAATTCACAATATATAATGGAGCTGATGTCTCATGACACTGTAGCTTCAGACATCTAAATACTGTGAATGAATCTATCTGTTACTGAAGAATGCCAGGAACGTAACAAATTAGGCATTGTTTTTCATTTTAATGCTGGCTTCATTCCTGTGTGTCAAGTGCATAGACAGTCAGCTACTGCATTGCTTTTGCTGTATAAATGTTTCACTGATTCCCTTTATTTGAAATGTTAGACTGAATAACAAAAGAATTGCAGTTAATTAACTAGCCAGGGCAAATGTGGGAGAAAAGTCCAGCTGCAGATATTTTTCTGAACCTCTGAACGAATTCTGAAAGAATTGCTTAGTATGGAATAATTATTGCAAATAGTTTTATAATTTGTAGATAACTATACCCTTTTTTACAGACCTTTTCGTTTGAGCATGGCATAGCATTAACATGGCACTAACTGCAGCTATCCCTTTTCTGCCCTTATGAAGCAGTGATACATCACCAGTGGCTTCATTCCTGGTTGCCCCAAACCCCACAGCCTGTAGACAATGAACTGGACTGGAGAGGATAAGGCAATACAAAAGGTTTTTGGCATGGGTTTTTCCTGGAAGCTCTTTGCAGCTCTCAGCTCTTATGCCTCCATGTTTTTTATATTTCATACTTGTACTTTTCACCGAGGTTTAGACGCAAGGATCCTTAAAGGATGTTAATAACAACTTAGGAATTACCCAGTCTTCAGTATGTTATAATATAAGAACCAGCATATTGGCAATTCAGTGCCCAGTTTCTTCCTTGCAGCTATTAACAAAGGTACAAATTCTCAGATTTGTCAAGGATTTTTTAAAAGGATTTTTACTATTTTTTATGAGAACCACACTCTTCCTCTTAATTTTTCTACTTATTCTATCTATATTAAATTAATGCAGATTTGTAACCAACCATGTTTCTTCTTAGCTAATTGTGCACAGCTCTATAATTGTGTATATCTTTACTTCCTGCTGAAGGTGCACTCTTACCAGCTGGGGCTGCCTCAGCCCCTGAACACTGAGATTTCCATTCCTACCTCTGTCTCAGTAGTGTCTCATCTAAAGAATGAGTGTTTCATCTAAATCAGGCATTGAAGTATTCAAGAAGAAACTCTTCCTTATTCTTCCACTGAAGAATAATGAGAAGATACTGAGTTTGTCGCTTCTAGAATGCAATGATTTTTTTGTTTCTGATTTCCAGGAGTGGGCTTAGCTGCCCGGAAACTAGGTGGCCTGGCAAGGCCTGATGTGATCATCAGTATGAAAGGGGACATAGTGACCATCAGAACTGAAAGCACCTTTAAAAATACAGCCATCTCCTTCAAACTGGGCCAGCAGTTTGATGAAACAACAGCAGATGACCGGAAAGTCAAGGTAAGGGGGCTGATGATCTCTGAGTGGTCTGAACATCTCATAGAACACCAGCGGAAATTTTACCTACTCTCTTAATTCACCTTAAGTTTTCCAAACTACTGAAATAAAGCACTGAAAGAAGACACAGTATAGTGCTGAATATAATGTTACTGAGCATGTCATTATGCCCGAGTGCATAGTTTGCTGAACACAAGGTGAATTGCTACTCTAAACTGCAAAGCTCAGCCTGCAGTCTGAAACTCCTCTCTTGGAATTTGCAGAGTGTTGTAACCTTGGAGAAAGGGTCATTGGTGCAAGTGCAGAAGTGGAATGGCAAAGAGACCACGATAAAGAGAAGACTTGTTGATGGGAAGATGGTGGTGGTAAGTTCATGTTCCTTGTACACTGCTAAAGGTCAGAAGGATACAGCCTTCAGCACATTTCTGTGTAAACAGACTATCAATTTTGGCTTACTCTTTGAATAATGAAACAAATTAAAGGAGAGAAAAATGGAACCAAGCTTAGAAAACAGCTGGAAAGAAATAAATGTTGTTGCATACAGCAACTTGTCTTCAAAGCGACTATATTGGCAGAGCTGCCATAAGTTGACAGCATACTTACCACTCTCAACATTATTTTCTTAAAAGGAATAAGGTTTAAAAATAACAGAAACCTGTGAAATGGAAACAAAAGTTTACAAGCAGGATACTGCTGTCCCTGAAACAGTTCGCTCCTTTTCACTACTTGGCCAAGCCAGAGAGATAAAACTCCTAGCTGTAATGGTCACTATTAAAATTAAGATTTCACTTTGTTCATTAAAGTTTTTTAATATTGGAGTCAAACTAATTTTAGCAACTTGTTTGAAGTCAGCAGCATTATACTTTTACATGTTAGCTTGTTCTGACTGTCTTTTCTTATAAGTTCTCATACATAGAATCATAGGATGGTTTGGGTTGAAAGGAACCTTAGAGATCATCTAGTTCCAACCTACTGTCACAAACAAGGACAGCTTTCACTAGACCAGGTTACCCAAAGCCCCATCCAGTCTGATCTTGAATGTTTTCAACGATGGGGCATCCACAACTTCTCTGGGTAACCTGTTCCTGTGCCTCACTACCCTCACGGTAAAGAATTTCTTCCTAGTATCTTATCCAAACCTCCCCTCTCTCAGTTTAAAGCAATTCCCCCTTGTCCTGCCATTGCACAGCCCTGTAAAAAGTCCATCTCCAGCACTCCTGAAACCTCCCTTCATGTAGGAAGGTTGATTTGTTTTTGTATCTCTGCATGGCTGCATTTTTTGTAAGACTTTCTAATTATTAAACCCTCTTCATGAAGCAGAGAGGTAAAAGTTCCTCCTCTGTCAGCGTCCTGCTGCCTGCCCCTTGCCTCAGAGAGGGCTGTGGAGGACTCCTCCTCCTCCTTTGCAGACCAAGGAAGTATTTTTTTAACATCCTGTTGCCTTTGTCGCATGCATCCTGTGACTGTGAGTCAACAGCAGCCACTGAAGGCTGAGGGTGAGAGGGGTGAGAAGGCCAAGAGAAATATTTTGTGACTCAGAGGAGCAAAGATTTTTTGGGCCTGTAGCCTGACCTTTGAGATACCCAGGCTACTTCTGCTTCTACACAAAAAAAACCATTACTACTTTGAAAATTTGAAAGCGTTGGTGGGCCATGACATAAAAACTAGGAGAGGCTAACATTTCTGACAAGTTAGCAATAATACCAAGGAAAGTAAATTTGTTTCAGCTTCCAGTTTGTGGAAGCTGAGCCTAATTTTGCAATCTTTTTGTCATTAAATGCCACTTAATGAAGTTTAAAGCTGTTAAAATAGAACAGCTCTATTTGCAATATAAAAATAGCTTTGCTGTTTGCTCTAAAAACATGACATCTGGATTTTCACTGACTTCAGAGGTTACTGCAGCAGACACAACTGCTGTCAGCAAAATGTTTATATTAATATTTTCCTTTATGCCTTAGGAATATGCCATGAAAGGGGTTGTCTGCACCAGAGTTTATGAAAGAGTGTGAAGAAGTTCCCTCTCTGCACCGAACCAGAATTGGCTCTAAAACATCATCTTAGTTCAGTGACCAAAGCCTCATGCACTGTGCTTCTTTATTTTATTTTATTTTATTTTATTTTATTTTATTTTATTTTATTTTATTTTATTTCCTTTTATCAGGAAAATTACTACACCATAATTTGGTATTTCAGAGCCATAGTATAACTAATCCAAAATGTTGTGGTGATCCAATAAAAGCTTCTCAACACAGAAAATAGTGTTTGGCTCCACATGAATGATTGCTGTTTACTTCTTGACTGGTGCTATCTTTTCTGTTGATGGTGTCTGTACACAAAAGGTCAGACTATTTCTGAGTAAAACAGTGAAACGCAAGTAATCCGTATCTGAGAGAGGGCTAACACTGCTTCTTTGGTTTGTGTAAAAAAAAATCTCCTGGACTCAATATTCTTTTCCCACAAAAGATTTTATTGCTGAATATCTCCTACAGGGAAAATTGTCTTTACCACCAGAATTTTTGACATTCAGTATGATATGTCATTGTAGCCTTATAGTCTTAGCACATCATTGTTTCATACTAATCTCAAGAAGCTTATATTACTTTTAGTACCAGGATTTATATGCTGGCATTTATTTGGAAGAAAACAGATACTGGAGGGAAAAAAATTGGAATGCATTCCATATTTGTCTGCCAAAAGAGCAGATAAACCCATGAAAAAAAGTGTGGAGCAGGTGTGAATGAACTCCAGAAGCCCTAAGGCTAGAGGGCTTCATTTATAAAGTGCTCAGCAATCAAGCCTACTTCCAGCACAGTATTTAAATGTATGCTCAGCATTAACCACACAGAGGAGTTGCATTGGGTACAGTTTACTGTCAAGCCTAACTGAGTAGCTACTATTCATTCCTTCCACTGCACTTACTCTGCTTTTATTTAAGAAAAAAAAACCAAAAAAAAACCAAAAAAACCCAAGAAAACAGAAACTTCTGGAAAGCTATTTAACCAAAAAGCACTGTGGCAGGTTATTAATACTTGCCTCGACTGGCCAGTGGTCAGTATCGCTGCCACATTCACACTAAACACATTTCATCCTGTGTCACAGCCTCTGTGCTATCACACAGAGCTCCCACCTCCTCGGTGGGGTTAAAGCAACTGTGAGAGGCTCATGTGTTTATCTTGGCTCATTAAGAGCAGCAGAGCTGATATGAACCTTTGCCTACTGGTTTTACAGGCAAGAGCACAAGTGCTCAAGGTTAAGACAGATCCTGAACGTCAGAATCCAAACTGGTTTAGCCAAGCAGAGAGTGAGGAGATGGATATCATATGCAAATGAAAGATATAAAGGTCATCTTTCTTCTCTATCCACCACTGGAAAAGCCAGAATCTGGGCCCGGGTTTGGGTACATTTTTATGTAGATGCAGTCTAACTGCAGGCAGCTGCCAGAGGGCAAACAGGACGAATCCTAGAAAATACAAGCAGTGAGAGAAAGCTGTGGGGTTTATGGACAGCAGTTTTAAGGGAAAATTTATCCTGGTCTCTACATTTGATGAAGGGACAAATGCCCCATCTTTAACCTTACCATTAAAACTCACCCCTATGAGTATCAGAGTTTCTGAGACTCCAGTCCTCAGTGATTGTAACAAGGAATGGAGGCAGAATGATGCCTCGTGTATCGTCTTTTGCAAACAGAATGTAATCATGTATTTTGAGTGAAGATATTTTACCAGGCTTCCATAAGAACAGGCATACAGTATGAACTCTCATTATACATGGCCCTCCAGATTATTCTCCTAGTGTCTTAACAGAGAGCCAGAGATGTTTCTGACAGCTCAGAATCTGCCTGACATGGACTTGTGAATCTGGATTTCTGCTCTGCAGTTTCTTCGTTCCCTTCCCTTGCAGTCTAACACAGTCCCAGTGAAGCTGCTGGAGCTGCTCACCCAGCCTGGCTCTTGGAAGCTGGAACTTTTCCAGAGCCTTTTAAGCAGAGTTCACCTCCCACCCTGAGCCACAGGCAAGGGAGAAGATACTGCAGCAAACAAGCTCTGTATTTCCTTGGCTTTTCCTAATGCAACCTGTAAATACTTCTTAAGTTAAATGCAAAATCTTCTCTCCAATCGGTATTAGTTTTCAGCTTTTTATTTCCTTAGGCAAAGGAAATAAATGTTTACTTCGGTACAAACTACTGGATCTGGAAACAGTAACAGAATAAAAACAAAGGATTTCTCATCTACTCTTCATTTATTTATTTACTGTCATCTCTGTTTCTGTGACATAATCCATCTCTCTCTTCCTCTTCTAAAGAAAACTTTAGTTGCAGTTATTTTTCCAGAGATTTGGAATTAAAATAATGATAGCGAAATTCCTACCTAAATACAGATATGCTGTTTAGGAGCCTACTATTTGGCACTTTCACTCTACACAAAGGTCACACAAAAATGTCATGAGAGCTGGAGACTTTCCAGAACAGGATAAGTGCAGCAGCACTGATAGTGTTGAAGGCTAAAACAATAGGGCAGGTGGTACAAATCAGCACAGAAACTGAGCACTTTGGGCTACTGCTGTCTGTAAAGCAATCTTTGGGGTCTCCAGGAGAATTTAGGGGAAATATGAACTTTTGAATCTCAAGGTCTTCTTCAGGTCTTACTATGAATTAGTTTTTCTTCTTTCTTAAACTTTTTATACAGGCCAGATACTTCTGGAATGAACATCTAGGCTGAGGTACAATGTCTGTGACTTTAAATGTACTTTCACATTGACAAACAATCCATTTGCTATTTTCCTAGCTTGCGTATGGGCCTAGCCTAGAAATATTGGCAGTGTGATGCTGTGCATAAATAGCATTATTTAAAGCAATCAGCTTCATCAGGCACCCACTCCAGGCAATGAAGTCCTGGCTCAGTTGAAAACACCACACTCAGATTCCTCTCCCACTGGTCACTCTTTGTGTAAGTTTCTTAAGCCTCTGTCTCACCACTGTTTTGCCTGCATCTCCTGAGGTGGTGGAAATTGCCTGCATGGGGTACTCATCCTCCAGTTGCTGCAGGTCTGGCACCATTCCCTGCCTCTGCCCTCTCTGACATCTGCTGGGGAAGGAGAAGAAAGCTGTCACAGCAAGAGCCCCTCTCAGCCCCTGTGCTCCCATGGGGAGCACTGAAATCAAATGAAAGACACATCTGGACTCCATGTACCAAAGCTGTTTCCTTGGACTGAGCAAAATGTGGCAATTTGTGATAGAAAACATCTCCTGGTGATGTATAGCTAAACCTGGAATACTGGACCCTGCATCTCAGTCTTTTCCACATGGAGTGGTGCAGAGAATATAGGCTCTCCTGCAGCTTTCAACTTCTCTTGTCCGTCTCTTTGAAGTTCATTTTGGGAGCAACTGATTCCTGTAAAGTGAATTCACACATGCCCAGGTCTCAACGTACAGACCTGCTGTTGTTTCACACAGAAACCGTGTCACCTGCTGGGACAGTGTGACTGGACAGTGAGTGTGTGGCTGGGCAGCCCTAGAAAGAGCAAAGATTTGGGGAGGGGAAGGGGCTGAGCTATTAAAGCAATTGTGCTGCATAAGAAGTCCTTGCTGCTTGCAGCATTTTTTCCAAGAAGCAACTGTGTTATGCTGCTAAACACTGTGCTGTTTATAAATTGCTCAACTGTGCCTTTTAAGACATTGCTACCTTGCCTAATTTTCATTTTGGATTAAAGATGTTCTGTTGCTTTCAGGAATACAAAGGAGTGAAAGGTTAGTGCTGAAGGGATAATCACTCAGAAACAAATAGGCTGATACCATGAAAAAATTGCCTTCAGAAATCCTGGAATTTAGATGTAATCAAGGTCTTTGTTAGGGAGGCAATTAGAGCATATCCTCGCCATTTCAATGAAAAATGTTATGGTTGGATATTGGCCATCTGCTGCAGATGAGAAACACAAGAAAATGTTATTTGGACTAAAGGGCACCACAACATTGGGAATAATATTGTGTCTGAGACGCTACAGAGAGGGAAAGCTGTGTTAGACAGCATTCATGCAGGATTTTCAAAGGAAAGTTTGCTTTTTTTTTACCTTTCAAGAAGAAAATCAATGTTTAAACATACTTTCCTCAGATGTTATGAAAAATTTTAAAACTAAAATTAGAAGAAATGCAATCATTCAGGGATAAGGAAGGGTGGGGTGAATGCATTACAACTGGATTTGTTTCCAGTTTCTCAGTGAAGAATTAATAAAAATATTTAAAAATCTTTTTTATATTTGCTATAATGTGATCACCAGTATTAATAATACTATTTGTAAGAAGATGAGGGAGGAAGAAAAAGGTTTTCTATATAATTCAAACTAAACATGCTCTGTGTCACACTCCCTTGTGGATAAGACTTCCTACTAGAGGTACCTGTGCCAGCAATGGGCTCAAAACCACTGCAAGGATCCATCTCGTCTTTCAAGCCCATAGATGGGGTGTCACAGCTAAAGCTGCATCAGGAGACACTTACAGAGGAGCTGTGGGACATGCCTGCTTCAAGTTTGACAGAACTTAGGGTTGCTTTGGAAATCTGTGAACATAATTACGGGAAAGGGGAGGTATGTAATGTGTCCAGCTACTGTACAATACTAATACATGCCAAAAACAGTTTCATTCATCTCAGATCCTAGTATGAATTTCCCAAGCAAATATCTTAAAGTTTTACTTGGAAGCTCTGCGCATTTGATATGAAAAAATCTGCAGGGCAGTGAAGGTAGGGCCCTCACTCTTCTTGTATAATCTCCTAGCAGAGGTTTGCAGCTTTCTATGGCATTGTGCCACCTTCTTGTATCTTGTACCATACTGCATTTGGAGTTTTATAGCCTACTGAGTCCTACAGATCTGTAGGGGTAAATGCATTGTAATTCCTTTATAAGCCTCCTCTCCATATGAACAGTGGGAAAAGAAAAGACTACAAAGCAATTTGAGATTGTAAGACATAACATTCAAGGCCCCTAATTACTTGGTCAACACAAATGTTTTAATTTCATTTAACAAGAGATAGAGCAGTTAGATTATGAAAGGTTAGGTGCATAAATGTCTGTGCTTTCCAGATAGGAACTGAGCCCTCTGGCCAGGAGCACAGGAA